AAACTTTCCATGCCAATATGCTGAAGGAGTATGTTGAAAGAAATTTCGAACCAGAACGAGGTGCATTAACAAAGGTAAGTGCAGCTGTTGTAGAAGCGGAAAATGGGTATGATAGATTAGAGGAAGATGATAGTTTAGAAACAAGTTACCAAGATGATAGTGACATATTGTTATGTCCATTGAAGAAAGGTTCAGAGACATATAAAGATGTTCAGGTCAATCCTGACTTACAAACAGATTGTAAGACTCAGATTGCAACCTTGTTAAAGAAATTTTCAGATGTTTTAACAGATATACCCGGAAATACGTCATTAGTTCAGCATGACATTAAGTTGACTACGTCAGAACCGGTAAGGACTAAGGGTTATCCTATTCCTTTTCACTCACAGCAGATAGTAAAGGAAGAAGTTGATAAAATGCTAGAGTTGGGAGTTATCGAACCTTCTAATGCTCCGTTTTCTAGTCCAATTGTCCTTATCAGGAAAAAAGATAACACGATTAGGTTCTGTATTGATTTTAGACAGATCAATAAATGCACGGTATTTGATGCGGAACCGATGCCCAATATGGAACAGATATTTTCGAAATTATCAAAATACAGGTATTTTTCGAAAATTGACCTTAGTAAAGGATACTGGCAAGTTCCTTTGTCTGACAATGCAAAACCTTTGACCGCATTTGAAACCCCGTCGGGACTTTTTCAATTCCGGAAAATGCCCTTTGGTTTAGTCAATGCCCCTGCAACATTCTGTAGACTGATGAGAAAGGTTTTGAAAGATTTAGATCACTCAGATAGTTTTATAGATGATATTTTGGTCTATACAGTCACATTGCCAGAGCATATCAATGCATTGTATGAGTTATTTACCCAATTAAGAGAGTCTAGGCTTACTGCTAGACCGTCCAAGTGTTTCATATGTTTTGAAAAATTGGAATGTTTAGGTCATATGATAGGAGGTAGTAAGTCCATTGAACCTGTTCTCAGTAAGGTCAAGGCAATTCAGGAGACCGAGAGACCCACGACTAAGCGAGGAGTCCGGCAATTTTTAGGGGTTGTGTCTTGGTACCGGAAGTTCATCCCTAACTTTGCCGCCATTGCTGTTCCGTTGACCGATTTGACAAAAAAGTTTCAACCAAATCGTATTGAATGGGGTGAAAGTCAGGAAAAGGCTTTTCAGACTCTTAAGGCTAGTTTGACCGGTCCGCCCATTTTGAAATTACCAGATTTAGACAAGATATTTATTCTCAGAGTTGATGCTTCTGATTGTGGATTAGGATCTGTATTACTTCAAGAACAAGGTGAGGAGAAATTTCCAGTAGCTTATGCCAGTAGAAAGTTGTTACCAAGAGAACAGAAGTATTCTGTAATAGAGAAGGAGTGCCTTGGTATTGTTTGGGCAATTTCTAAATTTCACAGATACTTGTTTGGTAAGGAATTTATTCTAGAGACAGATCACCAGCCGCTTTTGTATCTTAACAAGGCAAAGTTAAGTAACTCTAGAATAATGAGATGGTCTTTGCTTTTACAGCCATACAGGATGAGGATTAGAGCAATCCCAGGTAGAGAAAACATAGGTGCAGATTATTTAAGCAGGGTATAATGTAGAGTGTAGTGTAGTATTTATGGTGGTTATAAATATGGTGTACAGTATTTCTACTTACATTTTTGCAATTTGTCGTTTTCACTTTGTTGTTTTTAAAGAAAATTTATCAATTTTCTTATTTAAAGGGGGGCGTAAATGTCACAAAGTGAAAGTACGTTTGTAAAATCTTGCATTATATTTTCACGCCGAACCTCATTTTTACTCTATATTCATTGTTGTGAGATTGCATCATCTTTTGTTCAATTTAGAGTTTTCGGGTGAAATTATTATTCAGAGTATTTTTATGGTTTGCATAAATTTCCATGTATCAATTTAAACATTTTGCCGTTTATTTCACAAAAATCCTTTCAGTAATAAGAAAGTTACATTTTTGTTTTATGAACCAGATATATGTAATATGTCTGTATTTGAAGGACGGGCCTTTATTTTACATTACTGTTTTTCCCGCCGTCCCAGCTTTATTTCGTGCAAATCGATTTTTCATGTTTTGCACGATTTGTTTTCCCGCTTAGTACTCAGTAGTTTGCTATATATTGACTAAATTTTAAGTGACATATTGCAATGCACTGGACGTTATACAGGTCACTATGACGGTGACAGACAAATTATATTTGTCATAAAATTACAGCTTGTACAAGGTAAATTTAATTTTCTAGTGATTTTGTTCATAAATTTTTGCTATTTCGTAAATACTATTTTCTATTAGAATTATAGTTTATTTGATTCAGGTTTAGTTATTTGGCAGTAATTTATTGTTTTCTAAATTTTTGCAGATTAAATTTTAAAAGCTCTTTTTATTCTAGTGTTTCGCTATTGCAAATTTATACCGAGACATGTTAATTGATGTATGTTAATTGAAGTTTTGATTATATTGTAATTGTATAGGAGCTATGAATATTTTATAGATATATATATATCTATTCATAAGTAATTTATTATGGTTCTACCGTATTTGTGTAACTTTATGTAAAATGCTGCAGTATCGTAATGATTTGTTTCGATCAATTTAATTTACGTTATCATCTTACTTCATTTCATTTATCATCAGTTTTTGTTATAAGTAAATACAACGTATCAAAACTAACGTATCTCTAGAAGGATCTTCAGTGGCATGATTTTGGAAGACGTTTATTTATTGGTGGTTATTATGTGGCGTATATTTGAATATATTTGCAACGCAGTATTATGCGGATGTGATTGAATTTTTGTTCCACGGAATGTATGGTGTACTATAGTGGACATTTTGTTTATTTAAAGAAGCACGTTATTTTATTGGAAACCGACAAAGGTCGAGTCTTTTCCAAGGGACTTTATTATACCCTTATGTTTGATTATCATGGAACTTATCATGTTTTATACTTTGTAGCTTCTTATTTGAGGACACACCCGAAGATGACACGGGCCCTCCACACGTATGTCCATGGCTAAAAGTGTGACGCATGCCCTTGTTCGGGATCCTATCAACTGTGCCAACACTGTAGGAAGTACAGTTACGCTTGATAAGATTTTATACAAGACGCCCGCCATTGTGACGAATTTTGTTTAACAACGCCACCACTTTATTGATACATCATGACAGAAACTTTACAGGAGAAATAGACTGAGATACGTTGATAGTGTTTGTTTGTGCAGTGACTTATCATAGTAGTTTATCATATACAATCATTTTTCATTTATAAATATTCATTTCTGTAAATAAATTTGTATATATTTTTCTGTTCTGAGTTGTTGGTTGGTTTAGATAGCAATTGTGGTCGGCCTGGTATCCCATCGTAGTCCCTATTGTGACAGGGTACTCTTTTTACTTTTAGTAATTTTTCTAAGAAAATCTGTATGCATTCTTTCAATCATATGTAGATTTTCGTGACCCCAGACCTCACAATTATATGTCAATATTGGAAGAATCGAATAGTTTTAAATGAATATCTATCAACTGGCAATCCAAATTGTAGATTCGTGTATACAGAAGGTGCATTGCTTTATTTGCTTTATTTGCCTGGCTTGCAATCAGTTTACGAGCATAAAACTACCCGATGAAGAAAAGAGAATACCTAAATACTTATAATCTTTAACTATTTCAATATTTAAACCTCCTAAATGGAATTTAAAGTTTTCTGGTTTATTGGTTCCGAACACAATAATCTTAGTTTTAGAAATATTCACGGTCATTTTCCATTCTAAACAATACAGATTAAAATCATTAAGTAAATTTTGAAAAATTCGTTTTCTCTTATAATGACAGTGTCGTCGGCATATAATAATACAGACAATTTTAAATATGTAAGGACATTGTCGTCAATGTTTTCAATATCAATGCCTTGATTATTACGAGACAAATGCTCTTCTAAGTCATTAAGGTATATAGAAAATAAAATTGGGGACAAATATAAATTACAACTTTTATCATTTCTCAGTCACTAAAATACTCTGAATATTCTAATACATGTAGTAGCCGTGTATAATCTTGTTTAACATTTGCTATGCCTAATTCTATTTTTTTTATGTGTGTGCTGTTATAATTTAGATATTCAGTACCTTATAATTCTGATAGAATGATTATATACATGTTTTTTTTATAATGTTGTATATAGATAAGACTGGAATGAATGAATGAATGAATGAATGAATGAATTTAATAAATTTAATTTAATAAAAAAAATCTGGATCATTATCTTTTGTAATAAATTTCCCTATAATTTAATAATAATTAATTATTTGAATTAGTTTTAATTAAATTGAATATGATGTACATCAATGTAATCAAAAGTATACAGAAACCAATAAGTTTGCTTAAAGTAAATATTTCATATTGTGACAAAGTGATATTATGCTCATTTTTCATTGTTAAGTTGAACTGCATCAGATATATATAACATTTTAAAAGATGATAATAAAAAAATAAATGATCAGGATAATATATAGAAACTGTCTTAAATAAGAAAGCTTGTTTTACCCTTTTTATCAATTGCACGTTACCCATAGATCACGAGGAATCTTTATAGAACTTTAGTGTGTCACGTGAGCTATTGATTCAGATCATTTTTTGTGAAATTGAAAACAAGTATGAAAAATTGTAAAGTTATTTTGATATTTACCTGTGCACTCACCATTTTGAATTTAATGTACATAGTGTCACTTTTATTGAATGACTCATGTATCTTCCCATAATGTAGTGTAGCAAATGTAAACAATAATTGTAAGTTTACAATTTGTGGGGAATTACAATGTTTTACTATTTCATTCATTATATTCGTACTTTTTTTAAGTTTTCATTAAAATGTATCTTTTGAAGTTAGATATGTTCTCCAAAGCGTATTGATCCGCCTTTAACATCCTTGTCACAAAGGTATACAATTTTCTTCCTTTATTCTATAAAAGTTAATTGTTTTAGCAAAGGTAAGGCTTCCTGGTTTCATAAAATTCGCTCAATAAAGTTAAACATTTAGTTTTTTTTAAAGATTTAAGATTTTCAAAAAAGTGATTACTCAGACACAGCGAGTTTCAGGCAGACAATGGCGGATTTTAAACACGTGACTCTGCTATGTCTGGTCAGTCTCGTTTTATTTTGTACAATGGAAACCTGTTTAGCAAATGTTGATGACAAAATGGTACCAGGAACAATGTTTATACATCAAAATTCAAGTAAGAACAATCATACATTTTTTTAACACAACTATATTTCTTTTGTATATCTAATATTCTTTACCTGACAACTATATTTAAGAATGGCATGTTGATTGTATATAACCAGTTACATTGGAAAAGGCAAGTGTGGACGTTGCCAGTTAACCGTGCATAATAAGACTTTATTAGAAGTCTCTACCTAGATTATCATATACATTTGTATCATAAATATTACCGTGTTGGACAAAATATTATTATCATTACTATTATTTATTATTATTATTATTATTATTATTATTATTATTATTATTATTATTATTATTGTAGATGGATCAAAAACGCAGGAAAGAGGACTGGAAAATTACAGTTTTGCTCCTGGAATGGTGTCTGTCGATTGTCTCCGCTGTCTATGTCTGGTTTGTACAAGCAGGATATTTATATTTCGCGAAGTTTCCTTTTATCTATCAATTTCATTCTTAGCCATTTACATTTGAATAAAATCGTTTTCATATTTAGACATATACATTTGAATAACATCGATTTCATACTTAGCCATTTATATTTTATTAACATCGATTTCTTACTTAGCCATTCATTGATTTTATATTTAACCATTTACATTATGATTAACATCATTTAAATGTCATGAAAAGTCAATTATTTTTCATGCCAATTAATCATGATATTTAATATATTTTCGTTTTAACGTAATCTTTAAATTATTTTGTATCATCCGAGATTCGTATGGCTTGGTATATCTAAAATCGAACGTTTAGATAGAGTTCATGGTACAATAAAACTTTAGATGGTTTTGAAAATGGGTTTAATTTCATTTTTCAGAAGATGTCAAACTGTGAACCGGTTGGGTGTAAAATATTAGGAATATCATTACATTGTGGCTACTTCCGTTTATCTCGAGCTCAGTGGGAAGACTGTAAGACTCTTCCTGGTATACATTTTGGTAGGTAACTTTATTTCTAAAGGAATTTCTTATAAGATAATGCAATATCATCTACCTATATCTGTTTCCCAATTTTCTTGTTTTTCTCCTATTTTATGCAGTACTTGTCCCCCGCCATTTCGGAGAAAAAAGAAAATATAGAAATGAACTCCGTGTGTCCAACCGTCTGTCCGTCCGTCTCACTTTTGTGTCTGGTCCATATCTAAGCCATTCATCAAAGGAATTTGAAACAGGTTTGAACAAATGGTTATTATATCATAAGACGATGTGTCGTACGTGACATCCATACCCCTATTTTTAAGGTCAAGGACACACTTGGTGATTAAATATCAACATTGTTTGTTGGATGGTATATGTTGTGTTCGATCCATACCTTTCTCATCTATTGCGTCAGGTCCATAACATTTTCATAGATCAATAGATTTTGAAATAACTTAGCACAAATTTGTACAATAATAAGACCACGTGTTATGGGTAACACCCGGACCACTACCTCCCAGGGGCAATTTCACACTTGGTGGTCAAAGCAAAACATGGTCTGTTGTAGGGTATATTTGTGCCCGGTCCATAATTTTTTCACCGTTCAAGAGATTTTGAAATTACGTGGTCAAGGGATATTGAAACTACTTAACACACATGTTCACAATAATAGTACAGCTTATTATGCTCAACACCCTGTCACCTACTTTTAAGGTCAAGGTCAAGCTTTGAGGTTAAATCTTAACATGGTCTGTTGTAGGGTATGTTTTATGCCCGGTCCATAAGTTTTTCATCAATCATGGAATTATGAAATTTCTTGGCACAAATGTTCACACTGATTAGGCAATATGCCAGGCACAACACTTGGACCTCTACCTCAAAAGTCAAGGTCACAATGGAGGTCAAAACTTAACATGGTGTGTTACAAGGTATGGTATGTTACAGGGTATATTTCGTGTCCGGCCCGTGATGGTTTGAAGTTTGTCAATTTTGCTGCAGACAAAGTAAACAAGTCGGCTTAAGTAGAAATGTACAGGCTGCGTGAGCAATGTTCTTTCTATTCGGAACATCCATTGGAAAATTTGGACCCTTATGCAAGTGTGCACATAGGTTTTCTCAACATTTGTTCCCCTAAGCCCACCTCTCAGACTAGGCTGCCCAAAGACATATTGCATGGTTGAATGCTCTTTGCTTATCAAAAACTTACATTATAGCAGAATGTGCTTAAGAAGGATTCTGCAAATATTTTAAGCCAACACAACAGGGTCTAGCAATGTTCAACTGATTTTAAAAATGACAGGTCCCTCTAATGTATGCCTAGAAAAGTTTCAGACCAAGGTAGAAACTCTCTCATAGCTGTTACTTACAGATCACCTCAATTCAACAAAAATGTTTGTTTCTACTCTCATCTGCCGTGAATGCTGTACCTAAAGTCATATAATATTATACTTGGTGGAGACTTTAACTTGATTCCTGATGATCCAGTTGTGATTAAGTGTTGTCATGATCATCAACTTCGACAATATGTAGAACAGCCAACTCATCAGTTGCTGATTTTCGCACCTGATAGCATGCAGAGCTCTAGTGGAGTGATCCATTTTCTTATATCGACCATTTTCTGACTATTACATCTGTTTTTAATTGGTTTGCATTGATTTGGTATTTGTCACATTTTGTTGTTTTTAAATAGTGATAACCATATAAATGTATTTCTGTTAACACATACACATGAGTTATTAATTCTAGTTCTTTTATGAATTTATTGTTCTTGTGCAGATCTAGCATTGATCAAGATTTTGCACTGAAAGTCTCTGAAAAAATCCAGATCTTTACCGCAGTCCTTTGAAAGAGCAATAATTTTTGGGCTTCGTGTAGATGTTACCTTAGGCGGGGACGTTGGTAACTCTGTTTCACATTCTTGTTAATCCTAATTTAGCTCTGTATATGTCAAACTATTCACATTATTCAAAGATTGTTTCAGATACTCAAGATGGTCATACCATGTGATATCTGGTATGCATGTAAAATCCTTTAATTAAAGCATCACTTTGATAGTCGTATTTCATTACATTTTAAAACTGCAGAAAAACAGCAATATCATGGTCTCATGTCCTTTTCTCAAAATCTCCGACCGATTAGCTTATCCACGATTTTGATATAAGCATGTTTAATGTAAATTGAACCTTATTATCAATTATGATACTAGTATGAAACTCATGTTGGTTGATCACGTGACATTTGTTTACGCTGACATTGGGTCACCGCTAAAGGTTCATATATCTGTCAATAATCGAATAGTAAACATACAACATGTTCCATAGAAATATTTTCCGTGGTACAAATATTTTTCCAATTTTGCTCTTGTACATTTGCTGATATGCTTGTAGATATTGCGGCACATTTTTTCATCGAAATATTGCCGCATTGAAAAAATACAATGGAACGTTTTATACCATTGAAATCGGCAAATATTCATCTTGAACTTGGTATAGGTTTACTATTCAAATATTGAATAACGAAAAATTAGCAATGATCCAGTATACCGTAACCAAATGTCACGTGATCGCCGATCCTGTAAACTACAATATGATACTAAATAGATGCGAAATAATCTTATTATTTCTTTTGAATCAATTTTGGAGATATTTTAATTCAAAGTTATGTATTATATTCCAGACTGGAAAGAATGTTCAAACAACCTTGAATGTGCATCACAGTGTATTCAGAACTATATGGAAATGTATTTAGAGGAATACCGTTGCGAACTCACGTGCGAAGGGGTGTCACGTGATTACTACGCTGGTCCAAACGGATGTAACAACCCGAGGACAATAGATTTCTGGTATGCTGTGCAAGAAGTCCCCGGGTGTAAAGGCGTCAAATAATTGACAATGAATTTATCAATGTATGAACAAGAATTGATTGACTAAAACATATTTAATTCAACCGACTCTGAACTTCGTAATATATTTTCCCTGCTTTTAAAAGGATTTCGATTTCACTATACTATTAACGCATGATCATGAATATATATCATAAAACAATGACGACAAATTTAAGACCTTACAGTATGAATTAATTCCACGCATTCAAACTCCAAACAGTGATTTTTGGAGCAATAAAATCACAGTTTGGGATATATTATTTATTAAATTCAATATTCATTTATGAGGTCACCACTCCCATCTGACGTGTCTCGTTCAAAGCACTTTATTGCTCGGCGCACTTCATCAGTTGTATTTACAGAATCGAATTTCGCGAAAACAGGATTATCATATAACAGTGGTTATCGTAGTAATTTTCACATCCTGGATCAGATGTAATTTTCGCTCCCTGGATCAGATTAATTTCCGCTCCCTGGATCAGATGTCATTTTCGCTCCCTGGATAAGATCTTATTTTAGCTTCCTTGATCAGATGTAGTGTTAATGCTATCTGATAAGTTCTTAAAATAGTCATTTAACTCCTGCACAGAAATATTTTAGTTTAGTAAATTTTTGTCTTGGAAAAATGTATCCAAAAATCACCTCTAAAGCGCTTCAGTTCCTGTGATCTTTATCAGTTTACCCCTATTGTGCTTATTTTTTATGAAAGATTTATAAAGCCCCTTTTTAACATTAATGATCCTGTATGTTCTGATCAAAGTGGTAAACCACACTTAGTGGAAATATATATATGTACATAATTATGCAAATAAAACAATGTTCAAACATCGAAGAATATGTACTGCAAATATGTGTGCATATTACAAGTAATCATTAAAATATATGCATTCATTTCCTATTGTAAAATTTGACTTAAACTTTATAGAAAATAAATTTTTTATTACCTCCCTTTATTTAAATGAAATGTTAAATTCGGTAAAATCTTAAAACCATAAAAAATTGAGTTACAGGATCTTTAACTGGTGTTTATTTTCATTGGTCTTCACTTCATTGAATAATCGTAATGCTTCCAAATACTCTAACTTTTTTTCTCTGCACGAGTCATCAAACCAATCTGATTTTTTCATCACTTTTATAGTGTCAAATTGTATAGTTTGTTTTCTATCCGGCTATATCGAAAATGATTTCTAATTTTTGAAATTCATTTCGCTATAACAAAATAATACAACCACTATTTCGGTGTGCTTTTTGTGTTAAAATTTGCAATAGAAATTGTGTTACTCACATCCTCTGAATTTTATATTACTATGATTCTAGCAGAAAAAAATACCTTAGCTAGAAACAATTAATGTATATCCTCTTCTTTCCCTGAAGATAAGCCATTACAATTTCATACGGCAATTGAAGCTACACCTTCTTTAATCTTATGTAAAATTGTAAGATGCATAAAAATCTACATAACTCGTACAAAACATTGAAAGCATTTTACTCGTGCTTACTTCCCTTCCATTACAAATTTGATGAACATATTAAAATGATGCCATTAATTAAAGAAGTAGTCCGATGGATCAAACTTATCAGCTTCTCGAAACTATTATTCGCAATATTTCATCAAAACATATTTGGGTTTTTTTCCTGTAATAACATACCTCGTCATATTGAAAAAAAATGTATTTGGTCAAAGGTTAGAGGCAAAATGTCAGTAACGTGTACGTCAATTAATCCATTGTTATCGAACTAAGGTCTATTATGGCAGGCCATCTGTTTGAAGAAAAGATGGTGGATTAACTTAAAGATTGTAGACCTACTTTGGATTCCCGGAAAGATTATATAACAGAAAGTACTAATTTGTTTATAACACTGATGTCTATCACTCATTAAAAAAAATGGCAGTTTTTTTTTTTTTTTTTTTTGGTTTTTTTGTTGTTGTTTTAAGAAAAGACAATTTTACTTCACTTGCAATAAGGAAAACAGCTTCCCTTTCCTAGTTTATTCGTGTTTTTATTCCAAACAGACATATTCAGTAAGTATTTCATAGATTTCACTAAATTTCTGTGATTAACATACTTTACTCAAGGATGAGCATAGTATATCTTTAACGTACCTGTATCTGGAAATATGTTTATTTTGTAAAGATTGCATTTAAACAGAAATGCATGTTTTACTAAAATATCCTTTGTATGCTCAAATACGTATGTTTTGTATGAGAGGGCTTAATTTGTAGATGTGTTTTATTATATGTCTGAAAATGATAAATTTGTATTCATGTTCTCTCACCCACACATCGTTAGAATCCTCGCAAATTCTGCTGTAATATATTAAAACTAAGAAATGAAACTTTTGGTAACCCATGTCTACTCGTTACATATACACTTAATTCGATGATATATGTAGTTCAGCGAAATCGGTACCCGTGGAGTTCCGACGATGTAAAACTTTGTATAATATATAAAACTTTTATTCTGTACATAGTTAATTTTATAAATGGCAACAATTTCATTATTATTACATATATTTCAAAATAATACCGATAAAACATATCCAGTGTTTTGATACTCAAATTTAAAATTGACATATATTGATTTGGTAATTTATCACCTGTATAAATTACAAATCATTTCTCAGTCACTGAAACAAGTATACTCTGCTACATGTAGTAGCCATGTATAATCTTGTTTCACATTTGCTGTGTTTCATACCGATCTTTGATGTTTGTGTTGTTATATTTAAGATGTTCAGTATCTTATAATTCTGATAGAATTATTATATACATGTATTTTATATAAAGTTGTATATAGATGAGACTGGAATTAATAAATTTATTATTTTTAATTAAATTAAAAATTCTGGATCATTGTCTTTTGTGATAAGTTTCCCTATAAATTAAAAATAATTAATTATTTGCATTCGTTTTAAATTGAACATTGATGTACGTCAAGGTAAAAAGTATTGAACAAAACCGATTAAGTTTGCTTAAAGTAAATATTTCATGTTGTGACAAAGTGACATTATGCTCATTTTTCATTGTTAGGTTGAACTGCATTAGATACATGTTTCATTTTAAAAGATGATGCTAAAATATTCAGTGATAAGGATAATATATAGAAAGTGTCTTAAATAAAAAAAAGCTTGTCTCACTCTTTTTATCTTTTTATCAATTGCACGTTACCCATAGATCACGAAGAATATTTATAGAAATTTCTGTGTGTCACGTGAGTTAATGAATCAGATCATATTTTGTGACGTAGAATACAAAATTGAAAACAATTATAAATATTGCAAAGTTATTTTCAAATTAATCTGTGCACTCACCATTTTGAAATTAATGTACATAGTGTCACTTTAATTGAATGACTCGTATATCTTCCCTTAATGTAGTGTAGTAAATATTAAACAACAATTGTTAGTTTACAATTTGTGGGGATATAACCGTACATTTTTTTTACTATTTCATTCATTATATTCGTACTTTTTTTAAGTATTCATTTAGATTTATTTTAGATATGTTTTTCCCTAAATCTAACATATAAGTGATAAAGGTATTGAACCACCTTTAACATCCTTGTCATACAATTGTTGACAAAGATATGCAATTTCCTTATTGTATTCTATAAATGAAAATTGATTTTGCAAACTTAAAATCCAGGCTTCAGGGCTTCCTTGTTTCATAAAATTCGCTCAATAAAGTTATACATGTAGTTTTTTGGGGGATTTTTTAAAAAGGGATTACTCAGACACAGTGAGTTTCAGGCACAACAATGGCGGATTTTAAACACGTGACTCTGCTATATCTGGTCAGTCTCGTTTTATTTTGTACAATGGAAATCTGTTTAGCAAACATTGATGACAAAATGGTACCAGGAACAATGTTTATACATCAAAATTCAAGTAAGAACAATCATACATTTTTCTAACACAAAAAAGATTATTTCTTTTTTACTATATCTATATTCATTATCTGACAACTATATTTAAGAACGGCATGTTTATTGTATTTAACCAGTTTCATTGGAAAGGGCAAGTGTGGACATTGCCAGTTAACCGTGCATAATAACACTTTGTTAGAAGAACAACTCTCCCTAAGATTATCATATACATTTGTATCTTAAATATTACCGTTTTTGGACAAATCTTTACTGTTTTATCATTCAAGTTGGTCAGTGAACATTTTAGATGATAGGGTTGTTTTTTTTTTGGCGTTATATATCGAGCACGCTTAGCGGTTGTGGTGGGAAGACTAAATCATCTGATAGTCCAGTCATTCTAGCTCAAAATACAGCCAAACCTCAAACAAATTGCAACAGAAAATATTTTGAGTGTTTTGAAACCCCAGACCTATATTGTATAACATATCAAAAGTCTTTCACATTGCTTTCCGCCACTTTCTGACGTCACGTTCTTGCTCACTCCTCATCAAATGGAGAGTAGGTTCTTGACACGCGAGAGTTACGTTCCCGGTGTTAGTTTTGCCCTAGTGTTGCGACTCGACACTCGAGTTTGCAAAACAAATACGACCTAAGTTACGTGTCATATAAACTACAAAAGTTGACACAGAGACATACTATAATAATGAGAGGCAATGTTAGAACTCGGTAAATTAAAGATAGTTTTGAGTTTTATTAACAGCTGGATGTTTATAAACAATATCTTCAAAGGGTACTTATCGCACTTTGTAGTCAATTATCAATGAAACATATTGTGTACATTTGTTCGGTAACTGTTATTAACACTTAAGAAATGTGGGATGTACCAAACACTATTAGAATAAACAGAAAATTAGTTTTTGAATTTACTAATGCAATTTAAAAGCAACGTACTTAATGAGTATTATTGTCATTATTATTACTATTATTATAATGATTATTATTTTAATTATTATTACATTGTTATTATTATCATTTTTATTTTTATTGTTGTTGTCGTTGTAGATGGATCAAAAACTCAGGAAAAAGGAGTGGAAAATTACAGGTTTGCTCCTGGAATGGTGTCTGTCGATTGTCTCCGCTGTCTTTGTCTGGTTTGTACAAGCAGGATGTTTTGGTTTCACGAAGTTTCACTTTATATATCAATTTCATACATAGCCATTAACATTTGATTAACAGCGATTTCATACTTAGCTTTTTACATTTGATTAACATTGATTTCATACTTAGCCATTCAACGATTTCATATTTAGTCATTTACATTTTGATTAACATCATTTAAAATGTTATGGAAAGTCAATTATTGTGCATGCTAATTACTCATTATATTTAATATATTTTCGTTTTAACGTAAACTTTACATTTTTTGTATCATCCGAGATTTGCATGGCTTGATCTATCTAAAATCCAAGGTTTAGACAGAGTTCATGGTACAATAGACCTTAGATGGTGATAATCATGTGATTCTTCTTAAGCATATCAAAATGGAAAATCGAAATGAAACACGGATAAACTGTTGAAGGCACGTTTTGAATTAAATGGTATAAGATCGGCAGCATAAAAACCGTTCAAATGGTTGTAGTTTTAAAGTTTTAAATATGTGTTTAATTTCATTTTTTAGAAGTTGTCAAACTGTGAACCGGTTGGGTGTAAAATATTTGGGATATCATTACATTGTGGCTACTTCAGTCTATCTCAAGCCCAATGGGAAGATTGTAAGACACTTCCTGGTATACTTTTGGGTTAGTACTTTTATTTCTAAAGGAATTTCTTATCATCTACCTATATCTGTTTCCCAATTTTCTTGCTTTACTCCTTTTTTAGGCAGTAATTGTACCCCGCCATTTCGGAGGATAAAAAAGAGAATCTAGAACTGGGCTCCGTCCTCGTGTCAGTCCGCACTCACGGGACAGTATTAATGTCGCTAGAGGGGCAATAGGTTACTGTTCTTTCTCTTTGATGTCATTCATTCCGTTATGATTTTATGTGGATTTTTTCTTTTGTGTGCCTCAAAAGAACAATAGAGAGAACAATAGAGTAGCCACATTATTACTGTCCCGTTAGAACGTCTGTCTGTCCGTCTGTCACACATTTGTGTCCGGTACATATTTAAGCCATTCATTAAAGCAATTTGAAACATGTTTGCACAAATGTTTATTATAATAAGACGATGTGGCATGCTTGACATCCATACCCGTGTTTCCAAGGTCAAAGACACACTGTGATTAAAGATCAACATTGTTTGTTGGATGGTATATGTCGTGTCTTGTCCATACCTTTCTCATCCATCAAAGGATTTTGAAAGTATTTGGCACTAATGTTCACAATATCGAGGCGAAGTGCCATGCACAACAGAGAGACGCCTACCTCCAAGGTCAAGGACACACGTGTAGGTCAAAGCTTAACATGGTCTGTTATAGGGTATATTTTGTGTCAGGTCCATAACATTTTCATAGATCAATAGATTTTGAAATTACTTAGCACAAATGTTTACAATAATAAGATCACCTCTCAGACTTGGCTACTCAAAGACATATTTTATAACTGAATGCTCTTTGCTTATCAAAAACTCTCATTACAGAATAATGTGCTTTAGAAGAGTTCTACGGATACTTTATGCCGACACAGCATGGTCTAGCAATAATCAAAGAGTAAACGTACAACATGTTCCATAGAAATATTTTCCGATTCCAGTGGTACAAATATTTTTCCAATGTAGCTCTTGTACACTTGTTGATATGCTTGCAGAAATCATGACACATATTTTTATCGAAATATTGCCGCATTGAAAAATGTCTGCAATCATAACAGGAAAACTACAATGGAACGTTTTAAATCATTTAAATAGGCAAATATTCATCTGGAACTTGGTATAAGTTTATTTTATAAATATTGAAAGATATAAGAAAAATTAGCAATGATCCAATATACCGTAACCAAATGTCAAACCTGGATGCAAAAAACATTGCCCTTAGAATAATGTTATTATTATTATTATTATATTGTATATTATTGTTATTGTTGCTGTTGTAGTTTTCTTATTTTTTTCTTTTGAATTTATTTTTTAAGATATTTCATTGAAAATGTATGTACTATATTCCAGGCTGGAAGGAATGTTCAAACAACATTAAATGTGCATCACAGTGTATTCAGAATTATATGCAAATGTATTTAAAGAAATACCGCTGTGAACTCACGTGCGAGGGGGTGTCACGTGATTATTACGGCGGTCCAAACGGTTGTAACAACCCGAGAACAATAGAATCATGGTATGCTCTGCAAGAAGTCCCCGGGTGTAAAGGCGTCAAATAATTGACAATGAATTTATCAATGTGTGAACACAAATTTATTGACTAAATATATTTAATCCAACCCACTCTGAACTTGTTAATGGATTTTCCCTGCTTTAGAATTTCGATTTTACAATGCAAGACCTGAGCTTCATATAGAATAGAATATTTGCCTACACTGATGACGAAGGTTTAATCACCTTGGTTCTAGTCAACGAAATGTTGAAAAAAACTCACTCGGTAATAGGTTTTCTTTATACTCACATCATTAGAGAATAATTCTTACGTTGAGGTATACTTAAGATGAACGTAATTGAATAATGTACTATAATGTTTGAAAGTTGTCAAAATAAAAGTAATGTTAAGCACTCTAAAAACCATTTTCATACACAGTCTAACAAATTTAAGGATTAAGTTGCCTATACTATTAACCTATTAACACGTGATCATGAATATAACAATCAGAATTAATATGACAAATTTAAATACCCTACCGAATCCAATTTGTATAATATTAAACGTTTAATTGTTTAAGTTTTTACTTCAAGAAAATACCTGACAGTTTTAACACATACAATGGATATCGCCCTAATTCCCTATATAGAGCTACACTACCGGGTGATAATTTAACATTTACATTTTATTTATTTTGGTAAAAATTCAAATGTACCCTTTTAATGTTTTTGTTTTTAGTAAAACCCGAAAGTTCAGAAGAGGAACTTAAAATTTATGTAACAAATGAATCAAATAAATAAGCATTGTATTGTGAAATCAAAGTCCTTTGTGTATTTCATTAATATTATAGCCATCTTAACATGTTGTAGTCCATAAATAATACCATATCGTCTGAGTATAAATTAGCAGAAATGTCCACTCCAATAATTTTATAATAAAAAATTTCCTGCAGATGTCCGGATATGATGTCACATGTTTCAATGAAATATTCATTTATGAGGTCATCGCTCCCACCTGCCTTTCTTCATTTAAAACACCTTATTACATAACGCACTTCTTCAGTCGTAATTACAGAATCTAATTCCGCGAAAATAGGATCATCATAACAAAACTGATTATCGCAGTCATTCTCGTTTTCTGGATCAGTTTTAGTGTTAAAGTTAATAGTCATGAAATTCTTGCAAAGATATATGTTCGTTGAGTTTTTCTATTAAAAAAAATATCCAAAAATCACATGACCGTTTCCTTTTAAGCTCTTCAATTTCTCCCGTCTGCATCAGTTTACACCTATTCCGTTTAACGTTTATCAAATATTTATATTGTTTTATTTTAATATTAACTGGTGTCTTATTTTATTTGCCTTCACTTCATTAAATAATCGTAATGTTTCTATACTCAGCACCAGTCATCAAGCAAATCCGACTTGTCTGGCAGCTGTAAAAAGTTGCCCCGTACTTCACTTCAGTGTTGTTATATTTTTCTGGTCTTTCGGGATCATTGATGCCAGCACTATTAAGTGTTGAGAATTGAGTACCGCTCAAGCCGGTGCTAGGGGGCGTGAGGGATGTTGCAACCGAGTCTGCAATTCTTATGTAATTTTGTTATGATTAATGCTTCCGAGGGATCACTTTGTTTACAGATTTTTATTCTTCATCAGTTTTATAGTATCAAATTGTATGTTTTATTTTCTAATCGGCTATATCAATATGATTGTGTGAAAGTGATTTCAGTTTTTTTAAGAAAAGACAATTAAACTTGACCTGTTATAAGGAAAACAGCTTCCCATACCTAGTTTATTCATGTTTTTATTCAAACAAGACATATATTCAGTAAGAATTTCATAGAGTTCACTAAATTTCTGTGAGTAAAATACTTTACTCAAGGATGAGCATAGTATATCTTTAACGTACCTGAATATTTTTGTTTTGTAAAGATTGCATTGAAACAGAAATGCGTGTTTTACTAAAGTATCCTTTATATGCTCAAATACGTTTGTTGTGTATGAGAGGGCTCAATTTGTAGATGTGTTTTATGATATGTATGATACTGTTAAATTTGTTTTTATATTCTCTCAACCAGAAAATGTTTTAATCCTCGCAAATTCCTGCTGTGATATATTAAAACTGAGCAATGAAACTTTCATCTTCAGTGTAGTTCAGCGAAAGCGATACCCGTGGCGTTCCGACGATGTAAAACTTTGTGTGATATATAAAACTTTTATTCTGTAAATAGTTAATTATATAAATGGCAACAATTTCATTATTATTACATATATTTTAAAACATACAGATAAAACATTCCCACTGTTTAAATTTAATACTCAAATTTAAAATTGACATAAAGTGATTTGGTATTTTATCACCTGTACAACAACAACAACAACAATCACTTTTATTAGAATAGATAAATATAGAATCCCTAAAGAAAGCCCAACACGGCAAAATTGAAAATGTTGCAGGCTCGGTTTGATTGAGCCTGTTCATGGACGGTACTGGAAAGTGCAAGTTACCGTCCACGCCCCCTAGCACCGGCTTAAGCAGAATTCAACATTTAAACGTGAAATAGTAAAATTTTGAATTTAGAAACATCCGCAGATGTGTTCATACGGCGGTTATCATGGAACCTTCAATGTGACACTTCCGTGCCATTCCATGAAAAGCGGCGTATGGTCCCCAAGTAATAAAAAGCGTGTGCCCTAAACGAGAAAACAATGGGCGGAAATAAATAAAATGGAATTTTGAAAGGGGATCAGAGGTTATGAAGCCTGCGTATCACAGATAAGACGTCAAAAGACAAATTTAAAAAGCAGGCAACATATCCTAAGGGTGATTCAACATTATTCAAGTTGGAATATTGGAACCACCCAACTAGAAAATGCCGAAAAGTTGAAACTAAAAATACCACAAGCACAACAATAATGTCGTGCTGAACGATCTTCAAGGATCGAAAATATAACATCATTGATTAAATGTACGGGGAGACTTTTTACAGCCGCCACACGGCACAAATAACACGGATGTGGTCATAAAATAGAAGCCACGTCACAATAGTAACAATATGACTGATTAACATAAATTAAAGAGTGGGTAGCATGATACTTAATATAAATTCTACTTGAAACGTTATTTTCATCACATGGGCATAGTAATTATATTGTCAAAAATTGCTGCAATGTTGTTTATTGTTTCAAAATATACATTTATGATTAATTGATAAATAGTAAGTACATGTACATATATGTATGTCATAAAGTATATATGTAAACATCTAGAGAAGGTGTAACAAAAGAGAGTAGTAGAGCATTACGATATTTATAAAAAAAATTAACAAATTTTGTTATTATTTCTTCTATCAATTGTATAGTTATTTATTAAATTATCATACATACTAATGTAAACTAATGCAAAGGAATATCAGGTGGCGTGAGAAAATACTAATACGTCACTACAGCTGCACGATTTTCACGTACATAAACAATACTACGATATTGCAAATAT